TGCACTGTGTTGTGGAGATCCTGCAGCGGCTGGATCTGCAGGACCCCCAACCCCCATCCATGCTGAAGCAGATCATAGATGGAGTGGATGTTGGGGTGGGCCAACACATAACCCTGGTTCTGGGCCTGGGTAGTTAGTTGCAGGGTTTGACAGTTTGCCAAATCTACCGTCTTTACCACCAGGGTGAGCTCTCTAGCATAACCCTGGCTAGTTGACCCCTTGCAGCAATGAACATGGGCATTTCTCCTGCTTTCACATCGTCAAGGTCCATTCTTCCATGCCTGTACTTTCACGGCCAGCTCTACTGTGCTGCCCAGGTAAAGTGTAAGGGTCATCCTCCTGAGCGCTACAGCTGATGGGGGGTAGTGACAGTCCTCCTACTCTTAGGACCTCAGGGCCAGCTCTTCCACCTGCCTGAGGCATTGATGGGTATACATCTGAGTGGGGGTGAGGGCATCTCTCTCCCATCCACTCCACTGCATTGCAAATGAGCAGTGGGGCCAGTTCTCCCACACCCACAAATGCGGGGCTGCCTCACCCACACCTCTGCACACAGGATTGGCTCTATTGTACCATCCAGGCAAGGTACAGCACCTGCTCTCTAGTGTTGCAGCTGGTGAGGGGTCAAACCTAGTTTCTTCTAGATATAGTACCAAACTTTTTCAGGCTTTAAAAGTTTAAGTATGAAGATCAGGGGGAATGAAAAGCTATGGAAGTAAATTAAATAATTAATAATATGTAAAATAAATATAAACTCTTTATAAAACAGACTAAGTATAAACACAGAGGCATTACCTGTTATTAGAACGGACAAGCACTTACACCTCTACAAACCCGTTATGAGCACTTTCATGGTGTCTACTTGATGGAGAGCTCCAGAAAACAATGTGGTGTCATTTACTGAGACCTTCTATGAGCAAAGTACTTCATAAGCATCAGTCTAAAACTAAAAGCCACCTAACAACAGATTTTAACCAATGCTGAGTGAGACTGTCATTATACATGTGAGAAAAACATTGGAAAAAAAGTATGACCCCAAAGTCTGAACACTTAACCACAACCAATACGTGAATGAAGTATTATGATTTAAAAGTGCTTGCAAGTCAGAAAGAAATGATTAACAGTTCAATTTTTTTATTCTTTTTCTGATGTACTGTCATTACCTAGATCATAATGAAGCCTCAAGATACAGCTCTTTGATTTGTAATGAAATTTGCATTGTTCCTAAAAAGCATTTTAGGATCTAGGAAGGTATCAGTGACTATGATGATAATGACGCTCCTAAATAGGAGGGACAAATAAGGGCAAAGTATCCGAGGTTTCTTGTGACAGTGGACATAACCAGGCTTCAAATGCTCATGAGAACATTTAGAATGATAATCTTCACACCGTGTAAAAATGAACAGCGAAACAAAGGAAGCTAAATAACAATATACATGAAGGATTGTAGCGAGCTGCGTGGAATCACACCTGATGGAGACATATAATCAACTCCTGAGATGGCTAAGGCCTGACCTATGCTATGATCACGCAATGATTATCAGCTGATTGCATATGCGTGGACCTATGGGCGGTGCCCACCTGGCAGTTCGGGGTTGGTAGTCCATGCCTACTTAAGGGCTGGGAGAGATTTGCCCAGAGAGAGAGAGAGAGAGAGAAAGAGAAGGAGAAGGAGGTAGATTGCTGTGAATAAAGTCCTGAATAAACTGCAGTGAGAAGAGCTCCGGGTGTCGCGTCATCCTTGCGGGTCGAGGGTGGTCATGACAAAGGATTTCCATAGTTATACAAACCTAAACTTTTTCTACTTCTCTAATTTTGGATTCACAATTTATTAAAAAGCTATAAAATATATACTTATCAATAGCATTTTTTCTTAAATCTAATGCCTTGTCTCCAAATTTTCTAACATAATTTTCAGGGTATTTCCCTTAAAGTGTATCCACAGTAAATCATTAATGGGGAATTGTAGTAATAAGGGGCGGCAGGGCTGCGTCCCCAGCACTCCAGCCGCCTGCGCGGCTAGCTTATGCCCCGAAATAATTACACGGACACTGTATTCTTTTAAACACTGCTTGGCCCATTCTCTTCTAGGCTAATTCTCACATATTAATTTAGCCCATTTCTAATCATCTGTGTATGGCACCCCAAGGTGCGCTTACCAGGAAGATTCTAGCCTATGTCCATCCTGGGTCGGAGCTTCATCCCAGGAGCAGGGCATGGCGCCTGGAGAGCTGTCGAGTCTGAGCTCACTTCCTCTTCCTCCCAGCATTCTGTTCTGTTTACTCCTCCCACCTATCCTCTAACCAATAAAATGGGCCAAGGCAGTTCCTTTATTAGCCAATGACCTTCCTCCATCAGGGAATGTGGGTAGGTAAACGCCAGCAGCTCTGTCAAGTGTTTTCCATCATTGCTCTAGGTCTTATCTTTTTAAAGACAGTGCGACTCACTGAACCTGCAGCTGAATGGTTTCACAAGACTAGCTATAGCAGCGAGTTCCAGGGACTTCTCTCCCCCTCACCAGCACTAGTATTCCAGGCAATGATCCACATCTGATTTTTTACTAGGTCCTGGGAAATCCCAACTCAGCTTCATTAAAATACCAACAAATTTCATTTAATATATATGCATAAAGATTGCTTTTTTTAGCACAATATTGTTGTAAATGCTATTTTCTTACTACTTCTTTAAATTAATTTTGAGATATAAAAGACTTGCATGTTATCAAATATTGCTAAAATTTATTATTATTGTATCACATCTTATAACATGTATCAAATTTATGTAATAATTCCATCATTAGATTTTATAATATTCTTATAATCAGAACAAACACAATAAAAACATTTTTATAAATTTTTATATCCTATATACCTGAAAATGTCTAGTAGAAAGATTATTTGCCACGTATTAAAAAAATTTAAACCTATAAATATTTTTGCATCATATTTGTTATTTTCAGCATTTAGTTTGGTGTTCATCCAGTATTTACCTTTTTATGGAAGCTGTTTTGTAAACATTAATATTTTGCTCACAAACATTGTAATAGGTACATGTATACTTATCTTATAGTTCACCAAATACACATATTGAAATAAAATGTGAAGTACAGTAATAAAAACAAGCATCCACACTTACCTGTATTATTAGTTCTTTTATGTTACAAGATACAAAGCATCGCTAACATATAATCAAAGTCCTGCATTGCTTCTCTTTCTATTACTCTGCTGATGTAATTGCTTTATTTCCCAGTGTTTTGCTTTGGAATGCTCTTCATACATATGAGATAGAATATGGGTTTATTAAAACTTTGTATCTATTTAGAAATGATGAAAATTTCAAGAATGAACTAGGGATAGAAGTTTTTAGAGTTTCAAATCAATGAAAGGTTTTCCCTGTTCTTTTTAGTCTCTAGAGTCCATTGTCATGTTTCAGGGAAACTATATAATCCAGGTATTTTCATCAGCTACGTACAAATAAGAGATTTAAAACACCCCACATAGACTAAAACAATATTCTGTTATTAATGAAAGAAAACATTACTAATTAGAACAATTGAATTCCTTCCATTTTGTATGTATTATTCAATTGTTCAATCAAAAATTCTTAAATATAACAATACATAAAAATTTGAACTACATACTGAACTGTATTATTCAAAAATTAAATAGTATATTTTACTGCTCAATGAGTCTCTTTAAGAGATAGGCTACTTAGTTGCATTAAATCATTACTATGTCATTATAGCTCCCAAAATATTTAATTATTTCTGTAGTAGTAACATTTCGAAAGTTAAGATGCATATATTTCAAAATAAACCTTATAGTACTGTCCTAGTAATTAGTGTATACATATATGACTTTTATAAAAATTTAGGAACTTCCCAATTGTTCTAAATTTTTGCTTATATTACTTATTTTAATGTATTATTAATTTTCCTTAAAATATATTTTTATATTTCCCTATCAAAAAGAAACAAAAAGCTTATAGTTGTTTGTCATTAATAGAAAATTTGCCACCCAGTATTCATATAGATTATTTGTGTTAATCTTAATTATATTATCACAGAAATATTTACTAATAATTATCACCCACATTAATATTTTGAAAATAAACTATATTAATCATCTCTCTGACCTAAAATTCCACAATTCTTTTATATATGTTAACAGGTTAAGTAGTTTATAAAACATAATTATAACCTGAAATTAATCACTAAATAGTTTCATAAAATATACAATTGTTGAACAAGTAATCTATAAAATACTTCTAAATGCTTATCTATCATTTTACAAATTTCACTTTTCTTAACACAGAAAAATAGTGCAAGAAGAAAAAGCTACGATGACACAGATGGAGATCACTGAGTTCAGAATCCAGTGACGTATCTCTAACATGTAAATATGCTTTAAAATTGTCTCCATGCAAAGACCTGTGCATGAGTAAGACAGTTTCCAAAATCTAAGGCCGTTCTGTACAACATTAAAATGTGGCAACCTTTCACTTTAATCTCAAGGAAAACATTATCTCTCATCATCTACATCATCAGATGTTAACCTATTAGATGTATAAAACAGGTTTTTTTAAAAAAATCAAATGTAGTTTTCCATTGGTAATGAATATAGTGCTATCTATCTAATACAAAGGAGAAGTATTTCCTCTCCAAGAGCAAAAACAATAAGCGGTGTTTGAACTGCTGGTTGAAAGGTAGAGGCACTGGTAGTCATTATTTCCCCTTGTTTGTTCAGGCCCTTCCAACAAAACAAACAACCTTTTTGTGATTGGATTGACATGGTGTTAACAATGCATTTAATGCCCAAATCAGTGTGAATACAGGTAAAGCCCTCGCTAATACCAGTACCAGGATGTTAAAGCCACCTATTTTCTAAGCAGCCAAAAGGGAAAAAAGCTTCCCCTCCCTTGGCAAACAAGGCAATGAGCTAGAATCCAGCAGCACACATTCTCCAGCCACCTCCAGCTCCACATGAGCACCCATCTCCTACCTGCTGTCCTCTCAGCGATTTCAGCCTCGGCGGCTTTCTCCTGGAGTTCCAACTTAAGCTCTAATTTTCTCCTATCTTTATCTTCTTGAGTCAATTTTTCTTGAAGCTAAAACAAATTTAAAAGATTATTCTTATCTGATAAACACCTTTTATACATAATTCATTTCAAAGTAAGATTTTGTTGTTCTTAAATCCTTATATAATATTACATTTAATTACTTAAATACACTGACTGTGAGGGGAAAACATTAAGGTTGTCATATACTCGTTAATATACTACCTCAAATAATATAAAAAATGGAAAAATTTTAATCTACACATTTGTAGATGTGCATATAGACATAAAACAACACCAATTATCACTAAAAATACCTACTGCAGAAGCTGCTTCATTCATTCCTTTGTCTTAAAGCAAAGGATTCTAAATGGCTCTACCAATCCTTAAATTACTAGCAGCAGGTTTATGCTTCTCTTAGTAAGTCCAATATTTTGAAAAAAAAATCAATTGAGTCAATAATCTCAATATCTGATACAAACCTGACTGGGAGTACCACCTCATCATATTTCATTTAATTGATGCTGTCACCTGACTGAAAGTTTGCATGTAATAACTTCTAAATCAAACTGCAGAAAACATCTCACACGTATACAGAACGCTTTTTCTTTTCTTTTCCCATTGTTCCCTAGACTTTGTCATCTGTGTTGTGCTCCTTCAGAAACAAGATTCATGCTTCAGTCTGATTAGGTCAAAAAATGAAAATATTAAAATCAGAAAACTATACAGAATTTTTAAGAGAATCCATAGAAACTGAACATTAGTTAATAAAATTTTTGCAGGCCAGAGGTATGTTGAGGAAGAACCAGAGGAAACAAAACATGTCATGTACGTGGAGCTGAATGCATGCAATAGTATAATAAGATGCAAGACATACAGCATCATTTGCAACTTTGACATTTGGTTACATATATCACTGAAGTGAAAGAATTCACAGATACTAAGAAAAATGAATAAAAATTAACAAAGTAGCATGAAAATAGCTGATAACATAACTCATATAACGTTGAAGTAAAATTTTACTACAGTGAAATTTGAATATTTGCTTTGTAGCAACATAAATTACAAGAGCTTTATGGAAAATGAGTGGTGTTACAAAAGCAAAAAAAAAAAAAAAGCTTATTTTCATAGCCAGTCACTTAACTGAACCAACCTGGATGGCAAGACAACACAAGCCTACTGTTGAGGCATTAAAACACAAAATAAAGTTGAGTAATAATGAACAACAGGGAAAACTGAAATAGTCAACAGCAAAGACATTTTTTGTAGTAATTAAAACTTTTTATATTTCTATACCTTTTTATTGCTTGTTCTGAGAATTTCCAATTCTTTTTGAAGATATGCTACCGATGTCTCTTTATTTAAGTCTGCGATAACTTGAGAAATCTCAGATTCATAATTCATATCACTCTTTCCACATTCCATAATACTACAATAAAAGAACATTATTAATGATTAATATATAGGATTTCACAAATGACATTAATTTCTTATTAACAATAAATATGTAAAGTTTAAGTTTAAACTTTTTATGTAGTTAAAAGTATGAGGGTTATAAAACAATAAATACGTCAACTTACAGATATACCAGTTTCTCAGTGGAGAAAATTTAGTTTGTGGATAGCACATAGTGATCCCAAAGATCACTGGTAAAGTATACTTGACAAAAGAGTTCAGGTTTTAGAAGCTACAAATGTTTTGATTTGTGGTTCTGGTTAGGATCAACTTATATTTTTTGCTTTCCTGAAAATGGAAACAACCATTTTCTCAATTTTATTAAAAGAGTAACATATCAATATTTTAATTATTAAATTAAAATTAATTTTAATTAAAATGAAAGAGGACATTAAAATTAATACCTATTCTCCAAAGACTTCACAGTAAATATATTCTACAAGACAGTTGATAAGGATACCTGAAAGCAGGTAGTATAAAGAAGAGAGGAGACCAAGATGGATTGTCTTCTGGTGTTATGGTATTAAGTATGTAAACTCTGAGGGGTGTTAAAAGTCACCTAAGCCAGTCTTTGGCACGGAGTTCTGGGACAGTCAGTGAGTGAAGGGCTATTACCATGCTCTCATAATGAATTATACCCATTATTTCATCATTCTTGCCTCTATACCTTAAAAACATACACCCAATTGTATCTAAGTAGGAATCTGACACGAAGGGAGAACACCAATATGGTTATTGATTTTTACTGTGTATTGATATCAACGAATATATCTTACTGAGTAATTTCGAACAGAACAGCAACCCCATGAAAAACTTTTAAAACAGTGCTCTAGAAAAATGAAAACAGAATTATGGAGCCATGTTCAAATCTAGTGCTATCTTTACTGCACATGATCAATTATCAAAGGAGCATAATCCCATTCATAACAAACACAGGCATCGGAGATTCAAATTTCTTCACAGTGGATGATTTAATGCTGCAGAATGTAAATTTATAAGAAAGGCCAAAGGTAGACAGAGTACAGGGTAACTCTAAAAGTGTTCAGATTATACCAAACAAAGAACAGAGAGCGATGCAAAAACACCTCTGAACAGATTTGAGCTTTGGTGAACAATATCTCATATCAGTTTCACAAATATCCTTATACCCATAAGGAAGAGCCAGAGAAATAATATTGCGGAAGAAGCAAACATCACTGCTGTCTTTAAACTTGTCTTGTGCTGTTGCTCTCAGTGCTCTAGACACATTATAGCAATATCGTGGTAGAAATAGAAAGCCCTTGTAGGTTCCTAAATTTGTTTATAAGTCACTGATGCATTAAATTTATTTCACGTGGAAATGAAGAAGAGGGACAACATATTAAAGAAATGTTGTTCCAACTCTTACCTTTTAGATTAAACACTGAAATCAACACGCACCTGCACTTCATAAATGGCCCTTCATCTGGATAAGATTCCATGGCATGTATATTCCTGGAGTTATTCGCTGGTGGTTCAAGGTCCTCAGATGTGACTTCATTGCCTAACTCATGCATGTTTTGCTCAGAATTCATAGTCAGCTGTTTATCTACTGAAGCACTCTCACTCCCCACTGAAGCCTCTTGTGGAAGGCAAATGGCTATGTCTGCACAAAAACCAAAGTGTATGATACATAAAAGGACATAGCCAGATAGGAAAAATGTTGAACTAATAAACACTCTCATAGCTTTCACCATGGTTCCTAGTCTTACTCTGCTGAAGCTGATTAAGTGTCTGCAGGTGTGTTTTCAATTCCCTGAACAGAAGCTGTTTAGACTAAGAGCTTACAAAACAGGCCACGCACTGAGACTTTGGCAGAGCAGGCCATGCCTGTGTTAACTGAATTGTAGTCTCTGGGACTGGGATCAACTCCAGTTGTTTTACATTGCCTAAATGACTACAGTTGCTGTGACAGGCACTGATTTTAAACATGCTATTCTCAAAGTAGCAAACAATAAGAATATGACTATAATGAACCATAAAATGGAACTGCAGTTCGGAATGCCTGGGGAAAATTATAGCCTTAGTACGTGTATAACATTGTACATGTTATTTAACACAATACTTTCCTGCCTATATAATGTAAATAAAATATCACTGACAACTAAATTCCTGGCATACCAATGAATATTATTTATTCAGTAACATCATCATATTAAAATGGATGTAAGAATAACTTTAACATTAATGTCATCATATACATATATTATAAAATATACTTTGTATACTTTTTTGGCTTTTTCTTTTTAATTTTATTTAAATAGCATGCTTTTTCATTTACTTTACATACCAACCACTTTCCCCTCCTTCCTCTCTTCCTATCCTTTCCCCCTTCCCACCTCCCTCCCTCCCTCCCTCCCTCCCTCCCTCCCTCCCTCCCCATTCTCTCCTCCTTCATCCCCATTCAGAAAGCAGCAGACCTTCTGCTTGCATATAAAGCATGGCATATCAAACTAGGGCAGGACCAAGCTCCTCCCCTTACCTTGAAGTAATCTAACATGGGGAACAGGTTACCAAAAGCCAGCTAAGCATCAGGGAGAGGTCCCTCTCTCACTGTTAGGAGTCTTACTAAAAGACCAAGTTACAAGATTGTCACTCTGGTATGGAGAGAGCCTGTCAGTTCCATGCAGGCTCCCTAACTGTTGGTCCAGCATCCATGAGCTCCAGTGAGCTCAGGCACAGAAGCCTACTTCCTGAACATAACACCAGCAGCACAGACACTAAGAAGGACAATTAATAAACTGGACCTCCAGAAACTGAAAAGCTTCTGTATTAAGACAAAATGGCAGTCAATATACAGAGTAGGAAAAGATCCTCACCAACCCCGTATCTGACAGATGGCTGCTCTCCAAGATATATAAACAACTCAAGAAGCTAAACATCAAAATACCAAACCCGCACCCACCCACTGAGACGGTGGGGGTGATCTAATGGGAGCTCACCAAAGCAAGCTGGACTGGGACTGACGGAGCACGTGATCAAACATGCTGATCTCTCTGAACACGGCTGACAAGGAGGGCTGACTGAGAAGCCAAGGACAATGGCACTGGGTTTTGATTCTACTGCATATACTGGCTTTGTGGGAGCCTAGTCTGTTTGGATGCTCACCTTCCTAGACCTGAAAAGAGGGGGAGGACCTTGGACTTCCCACAGGGCAGGGAACCCTGATTGCTCTTTGAACTGGAGAGGGAGAGGGGGTGGGTTGGGGGTAAGAGGAGGGAAATGGGAGGAGGTGGAAATTTTTAAGTAAAAATAAATTTTAAAAATGTGAAAAATAAATAAATAAATTCAGCAAAAAAAATGGGTTGCAGATCTAAACAGAGAATTCTCAATAGAAGAAACTCAAATGGATGAAAGACTCTTGAAGAACTGCTCAACATCCTTAGTGATCAGGGAAATGCAATTCAAAACAACTCTGAGATACTATTTTACACCTGTCAGAATGGCTAAGATCAAGAACACTGATGACAGTTTATGTTGGAGAGGATATGGAGTAAGGGGAACACTTCTCCATCGCTGGTAGGAGTGTATATTTCTAAGGCACCCACTGGAAATCACTTTCTTAGAGACTTGGAAATCAATCTACATCAAGAACCATCTATGTCATTTTGGGCATATACCCAAAGGATAAGCAATCATACCACAAGGACACTTGCTCAACTTCGTATGCTTAATTGTATAACAAAATTATTTAAATTGGATCTACTAAGCAATATTTAAGGAGATAAACTATATTAAATGGCATAGTAAAGTTTCAGAGGAAATCATATATACAAAATCAACTGTTATTCCTAAGATTTACAGGTACAACTATTGGTTGTAACATGTACTTCATTAACTCCAGAAGAAATAATTCTTCAGACTTAAAAAATATTCTTGGTGATACACTATGAAACCTGCCAACACAAAATCCTTTTGAGGCACAAAAGTGTTGTTAAAATAAAAGGAAATTAGTATACAAAAAAGAAAGTAACTCACAAAACTTCATTTGATTTTTTTGTTTGTATTAACTGTAGGCAATAAAAACTTCAAGCCCAAATATTTCATATTGGTACATCATAAATCACCTGATTTTAGTAAATTATATTGATTTCTCTTTTTTGAGGAAAAGAATTGTAAGAGAGAAATGTTGTATCATAACTGCATACTACGAAATAATCATGACATTTCAACATATTATCCTGACATTTTTGTTCTTTTTTATTGATTTTTATTGAGCTCTACATTCTTCTCTGCTGCCCTCCCTGCCTCTCCCCTGCCCTTCAACCCTCCCCCGAGGTCCCCATGAAAACTCTTCCATGGTTTGTTTTACATGCTCACTCACAATTCTGCTTTCCTACAATACCTGGCATAAGAATGGAGTCCTCAACCTCTAAGTAAGGGCATTTCAGGGATGCTAAAGAGACATTCTATCTGTAGTACATCATGAATATGTAACTCAAATAAAAAGTAGTTACAGTTACTAAAATAATTATATAAGTAATAAAAACTGCATTCAAAGTCATTTCATTATAATTCTGGTGTCTGTTGTTATGTCTCCCTTTTCATTTCTGATTTTGTTAATTTGGATGTTCTTTCTCTGCCTTTTGGTTAGCTTGGAAAAGGATTTGTCTATCTTGTTGATTTTCTCAAAGACCCAGCTCTTTGTTTTATTGATTCTTAGAACTGTTTTCTTTGTATCTATTTTATTGATTCAGCCCTCATTTTGATTATTTCCTATCTTCTATTCCTCCTGGGTGAGTCTGTGCCTTCTTGTTCCAGAGCTTTCAGACGTACTGTTAAGTTGCTTGTGTCAGATTTCTCCACTTTCTTTATGTGGGCACTTAGTGCTATAAACTTTCTTCTTAGCACTGCTTTCTTAGTGTCCCATAGGCTTGGGTATGTTGTGCATTCATTTTCATTTAATTCTAGGAAGTCTCTAATTTCTTTATTTCTTCCTTGACCCAAGAGTGACTCAAATGAGCATCGTTCAATTTCCATGAGTTTGTAGGCTTTCTGCAGTTAGTGTTGTGGTTGCATTCTAACTTTAATGTATGGTGATCCCTTAAGATACAGGGGGCTGTTCCATTTTTTTTTTTTTGTAGTTGTTGAGGCTTGCTTTGTAGTCAAGTATGTGATCAATTTTAGAGAAGGTTTCATGAGCTGCTGAGAAGAAGGTATATTCTTGTGTGTTTTGTGTTTGAGTGAAATGTTCTATAAATGTCTGTTAAGTCCATTTGAGTCATGACATCTATTAGTTCTCTTACTTCTTTGTTAAGTTTCTGTCTGGCAGACCTGTCCATTGGTGACAGTGGCATGTTGAAGTCCCCTACTATTAGTAATGTGGGGTTTGGTGTGCGATTTAAGCTTTAGAAATGTTTCTTTTACATGTGTGGGTGTTCTTGTTTGTGGGGCCAACCACAGAAACAGCTGACCTGAGCTAGTAGGAGCTCACTGACAGTGGGGAAACCTGCATAGGACCGAACTAGGTCCTCTGAATGTGGGTGACATTTGTGTGGTGGGGCAGTCTGTGGTACCGTTGGCAGTGGAACCAGGATTTATCCCCAATGCTTGAATTGGCTTTTTTGGACCCATTCTCTTTGAAGGGATGTCTTGATAAACCTAGATATAAGGGGGAGGACCTTGGTCCTGCCTCAAAGTGACTCTCCATGGGAAGCCTTACCCTCTCTGAAGAGTGGATGGGGTGGGGCAAGGAGAGTGGAAAGTGGGAGGAAGAAGAGGACGGAAGGGAGAGGGAACTGGGATTGGTGTGTAAAATGAGAAAAGAGTGTATTAAAAAATAAAAAGAAAAACTAATAATTGGATAAGCTATTTTACACTGCAAAAAATGTTTGGGATACAGCAAGAACAGGAATAAAATTATAATTGTAAACTTTAAGAAAAATAACTTTAGAGTCTATGCTGTTCTGCTGTTTATAAGGAACAAAGACTCTGTCAAAGTGTAGGGTTAAGACAGCCCCTTTAGGGGGCGGGGTTTGCCTCGGGCGAATGCCTGCCAATAAATGGGCAAGCAGGAGGAGGCTCGGCCCTTTTTTTCCTTCCTACCTCCTGTACTACACTGAAACTTCGGTTCTGTAAGTTTATCATTAAAATGGTCAATATTCTTTAATACCTGCATTGCATTTATTTACGCCGATACATCAAAGGGGCAGAATAATCCAGGAGTGTGAGGTTACAAAGGCCCTCAGATTCCTATGACAGAACACACCAACTGTGTTAGATTCTTAAGTTCTGGCCCATTAAAACCAATTATCCCACTATTTACAACTTGGTTCAGTTATCTACGTATATATTTCTTGGTCTAATTTAGCATCTTTCTCCATCCAAAGTTTTATTCCTAAAGTTCTGTTTTTGTTGTAGACGCTTCATTGTTTTTTAATCCTACCTCTGATAGCTTGTTGCTATTTGCCATGACAGTTATAACTTTTCTACTGGTTTAACCTATCAAATTATAAGACCCCTTGAAATCTTCATAGATCACCATCATTTCACTGTGACCATCCTCCATTCCAAACTTCTAGAGGAGATATAGAGGCTTCCAAACAAGAATGCATTTGGTTTCCTCCCAGATCTTAGTCGTTATGATATTTGGAACAATAGTAAAAT